ACAAACGGTCAGTCAATCTGCACCTACTGTTTACAAACCCGCAGTAAAGGTTCAGAAGCATGGAATGATGGCTTAAATCTGCAATTATGCTCTTAATGCGTAAAGACGGCTCAAGTGGAGTCACAAGACTGATTAAGATTAGTTTTGCCAGAAATTCCGTCAGCAACGGAAATCATAGGAGGAAAAAATCGCAGCTTAAGCAGGGTGCAGTTTTCTGACAGGCCTTCCAGGCCTGTAGCAATATAAATAGATCTGCTAAGGGTTCCCTATAAACACCACCGTAGTTTACTGTACATAACTACCTACTTGTAATTTATTATTTGGTTTAGTTATTAGTTAATTTCGTTAGTTTTAGCTTAGGTTTAGTTTTTAGTTTCTTATTTAGTTTAAACTATGGTGATGTTTATAAGGAACTCTCAGCATAGGTCTCTTCTACTAATGTTGAGGGAATCTTTGGGATTGAAATATTTGATTCCCTTATTTCTTCGCAGTCGAAAAAGCACTGTTCCAAATAATGAATGTAAAAATGCGATCAGGTGTGTTCCTTTGAAAAAGAAAATGTAATCTGCGATAGAATGTCCAATTTGCAAGTACTTATATCACCTTAGGTATGATTACTGTAGTTGGCAGGCATGGTTCTCTGACAAAAGTCCGTATGCTGCCGTGTGAGATAATTTGAGATTGTTATCATCTAATCGGTAGCGTAATCCGAGGTAAGAAATCATTCCTATCTAAGAGTAGACAGCTATTTCAGTCAATAACTAAGGAGTATCGATGCAGGTTATGACCACACCTGTTGCAAGTCACTGACAAACACAAACCCTGCAGTACGTGAATTATGTCTAGGAGGATGGCATTCTAGCACAGTCCATTGGGACCACGGTGTCATGCTAAGTTTCGCAATTGAAAAGTCCAGAAAAATCCCAATATCCAATTGGGAAAAACTCAGCGGCCACCTTAAGGTTTTAGCCTCGGTGCTGTATGCCAACGCTTTAACACCCCTTGCAAGGTCAGAATCCAGAATTCTTCATATTTAAGCCAAGCTAACCGCCCAATCCTACTGCAATGTGCCAAATCCACCAATTCTGACGCGGTAGGCTGAATACTCCAGCAGATTTTTACAAAATAATAAATCTAGAATGAACAAGATTATCACCAGGCAAGTTGAATTAATGGATTTTGAACGATTCTAGCAACTTTGGCAGGTAACTCAGCCCAACAATGAGATGCTCGAGGCTCTCAATTGGGCTGCATAGCTCAGGTGAGTAGAAGTATTTGTCGTACTCAATATGAGACCTCCCTGTCGTGGGGTTGAGAATTCTACCGAGGCCGCCGAGTACTTCACGATTGAGTATTTATTTAAATTGTTCAAATCTGCCAGAAGCTTTGCCAAACACCGAGTTTGTGGTTATGACCGCGGATTCACTGCAAGAGACCTGATGCTAATCCCTCTAATATTCTAACCACAGCATCCAAGCGACCGCGCATCAAACCCCGCTGCAGGCACGCAACTGGCTGCCTGTAGTCGTGACTGAGTCTGAGAGCGTACAAAAATCTAATTAGTACATCCACGTTCAGCGTGGTTGCCGAATATAATTATAGCACTTTTTGTGTGCACTAGAACCAGTCGATAGCAGTTAATAATGCAACCGCCGTAATTCAATCAAAAATTGCGGCGGCGCGATGGGCACGGTTGTGATCCAGTTTAACCTAACTAGCCTCAATTTTGTCGCGGATTGTACCTCCACGAGTAGCGAGAGGAAATGGAGAACTCCATCG